TTACAAAGCTTAACTTAGTATAAAGATCAAATTGCTATTAAGAATACTGTGTTACGCCAAAATTCTAGCTAACTATGTTTTGGGATCAGACACCGATGATTGTTGCCGACAGATGTAACACAACTATCTCAGCCAATAAGCAAGCAAAGATATTTCCATTCTCATTTAGTATTTAGACTCATAACTCCTTGAAGTAACACCGTTAATACGCATGAGCACTAGATTAAACATGGCGGATCGATAGGAGTTTAATAAATTTCGATAATAATTGCTTGCGTATACCTTGTGATTATTTAGTAGTTCACGTGGCATGCATCGGCAGACTGGTGTTATGGTATGATAAACATTGTAGCTGTTCAGATGACCAATTTTTTGACAACAGTCAAGCACTCATGCGCTAATAAACTGATAAACGCATTATTTCAAAAGGAGTTAGATGATCAGAAAAACAAACATGGCCGACTGAAGGTGACGATGCGACCAGAGAAAGTTGGGATTAAAGATTATCAATATTTTTCAAATAATTTCCAACTATATTTTCAAATAATTTCCCACTTTTTCAAATAATTTCCTACTATTTTTTAAAGTAATTTCCCATTAAAAATAATTTTGTTCGTCATTTGTTGAGATTTTTTTTTTTTTACAAAAAGCTTTTCAAGTTGTCATCACAATGAATACTTCAAAATCCAGTATGAAAAACAAAAACCCTTTGGTCAGTATCGTACGACTGATGTTCTGGGGTAAAGAAATCCTTCTCGGGAGAAGACGACAAGAACGGTGTTTCACCGTCTTGTAAACAAATTCAAAAGAGATTTTTCGCGATTCTTGTCGTCTCGTTTGACACCTTGTTTAGCAATGACAATAATTCCATTATCAACTCGTGACGTCATAATATATCGTTTCTCGAATAATCATTTATTTTCAATCTTAGAGTTTCGGAGGCCTGGGCCTTCGATCAGCAGTAGATTTGCCCCTTTCAGCATATCTTTATTCACTTTCGTCCAGTCACGAATTAATTGATGAGATACTCGGTGAATCGTCTTAGTGTTACTCGGGTAGTTCTTTCGAACAAGCTTGCAGCGTCTCGACCCAAGAATTACTTTCTATCCCATTAGACACATCAAAACAAAAAAGCTTCGAGAAAATAAAACCCGAGGCCAAGTTTACTAATTTGAGGCTCTCTCTGGATCAGCATCGCCTCGCCTGTTTACTATCTGCTTCACAACCGAGTAGTGGCGCCTGGCTCAACGCAGTGCCCTCCTCATGTACTAGATGATGAGTGCACTCGGGTCGGAGTCGCGATCCGTCTTGGACTCAAATTATGTGAGCGTCACAGATGCAGATGTAGAGCTTCCATTGATGAGTTTGGTTTGCATCCTCTCTCCTGTCGTCGTAGTGCCGGCCGCCTACCACGGCATGCAGCAATAAACGACATCATCAGAAGAAGTTTGGAGGCAGCTGGTTTCTCTTCCCAAATCGAACCTGTAGGTCTCGACCGTGGGAATGGAAAGCGGCCAGATGGCATTATCATTTTCCCTTTCAAAATGGGGAAGTCGTTGATTTGGGATGCGATCTGTGCGGATACATTTTCAGTCGGTAATTAAATCAGGTCCCCGGTTGAGCCGGTGTTCGTTGCCCGGGACGCAGAGATAAAGAAAAAAAATAGTTAAATATTCTTCTCTTGCTGCTAGACTTTTTTTTTTTACTCCTGTGGCAGTGGAGACTTCTGGGGTTATTGGCCCTCGTTCGATGGCGTTCCTTCGGAAGGATTGGCGCGATTGCGTCTCGATTAACGGATGAGCCTCGTGAAACAGAGTGACTCTTGCAGCGTGTCTCACTGGCGATGGTTCGAGGTAATGCTTTCTCCATTATTGTGGCTGGCAGAGGATAGCAAAAAAAATTGTTTATAGTTACTTTGTTCAAACTTTTTTTCAATAAATTTTCAATCTTTTATAAACTCAAATAATGGTAATGGTAATATTAGCCATTTCCTGATAAGGAAATACTTGGTATTCAGTATTCCGAGATTGAATGTAGATGAATGAGTTCTTGTGGCGTATGAGTAAATGAATGAATGGGTCGTAAACCATATTAACTAGGTGTAGATTCGGTGTCACTGACTGTAAGTCAGTGGTGACTAATCTCTCCCCTTTTGGCCTTATGCCACATGAAATGTAATATTTCAAAATAATAACATTTGGCATTCATTGACCAGCAGCCAGTAATAGTACTTTCGGTTGAAATTTATAAAATCTTTCTTTTAAAATAACTTTTCAGGAAAACAGGTTTCTCAAACCCAGTAGCTGTTATCGCTCTCTCCAGTATTGATGGGGATTTCCTTCCTAACCTTTTGTTTGAAGTAGTGTGGAATGTCAACATCTTGATTATGTCATTATTTTCTCTTCTCAAGCGCAGTAGCTGTTATAGCTCTTTCCAGTATTGATGGCGGTTTCCTTCCTAACCTTTTGTTTGAAGTAGTGTGGAATGTCAACATCTTGATTATGTCATTATTTTCTCTTCTCAAGCCCAGTAGCTGTTATCACTCTTTCCAATATTGATGGCAGTTTCCTTCCTAACCTTTTGTTTGAAGTAGTGTGGAATGTCAACATCTTGATTATGTCATTATTTTCTCTTCTCAAGCCCAGTAGCTGTTATCACTCTTCCCAGTATTGATGGCAGTTTCCTTCCTAACCTTTTGTTTGAAGTACTGTGGAATGTCAACATCTTGATTATGTCATTATTTTCTCTTCTCAAGCCCAGTAGCTGTTATCAGTCTTTCCAATATTGATGGGGGTTTCCTTCCTAACCTTTTGTTTGAAGTAGTGTGGAATGTCAACATCTTGGTTATGTCATTATTTTCTCTTCTCAAGCCCAGTAGCTGTTATAGATCTTTCCAGTATTGATGGAGGTTTCCTTCCTGACCTTTTGTTTGAAGTAGTGTGGAATGTCAACATCTTGATTATGTCATTATTTTCTCTTCTCAAGCCCCGTAGCTGTTATCACTCTTCCCAGTATTGATGGCAGTTTCCTTCCTAACCTTTTGTTTGAAGTAGTGTGGAATGTCAACATCTTGATTATGTCATTATTTTCTCTTCTCAAGCCCAGTAGCTGTTATCACTCTTTCCAGTATTGATGGGGGTTTCCTTCCTAACCTTTTGTTTGAAGTAGTGTGGAATGTCAACATCCTGATTATGTCATTATTTTCTTTTCTCAAGCCCAGTAGCTGTTTATAGATGGTTTCCAGTATTGATGGAGGTTTCCTTCCTGACTTTTGTTTGAACATAGTTTGGAATGTCAACATCTTGATTATGTCATTATTTTCTCTTCTCAAGCCCCGTAGCTGTTATCACTGAATTTTCCATTTTTTATTGATGGAAGTTTCCTTCCTAACCTTTTTGTTTGAAGTAGTGTGGAATGTCAACATCTTGATTATATTTACATTTTCTCTTCTCAAGCCAAGTAAAACTGTTATCACTCTTTCCAGTATTGACCAATTTTCCTTCCTAAACCTTTGTTTGAATTTATAAAATGTCAACATCCTGATTATGTCATTATTTTCTTTTCTCAAGCCCAGTAGCTGTTTCCGAACTGGTTTGGTACCATGCATGAAATCCATAGGAAAGACTCGATCTGATAGGACTATTTAAGAACATGAGTTTTCATATTGATTGTTTTGAAGGATTATTTGAATTGTAATAAAACTTCAACATATTATGGAAGTGAATTTATGCATTTTTTATTCTTGAGAAGTGACAACAAATATATTAAACCTTATTTATTTATTAGATTTTTTATTTGCAAGAATAATTTTATATTTACAACATTCGAAAAACTAATACAGTTAAAACTACTGCAATGAAATATTTATCATTTACCAATTTATAAAGAAATAAATATGAAAATATTTTTTTATTTATAAATTATGTAAACCAACTATTAGGAAATCCTTATTAACCATTTTATAAAGTTCGATTCAATTGGCAATTAGTCGATGTTTTTCCCACCATTTAATTAAACAATCTAGAAAATTGTGTTTATTATTTTTGTTTTCAATTTTCAAGAACACAAGCAAATGTATTAATTTACTTTTATCGTGTGTTTAGGTTTTATTCCAATTCTAATTATCGCTTTTAAAACAATAAAAATTGCCGAGGAGTGGAGGTAGTTAAAATAATAGCGGTGCCAAGGGAAAACATTCTTTTCACACACACCATTTTTTTTTTAGAAAGGTTAAAAATTGCCAAGAATAATGTGTCTCTTCTTCGGCGTAACGATACAACGTAAAAATTACGCTTTATCATATTCCAATAAAAGATTTACATTTCCTGAAGCACAAAGGAGAAAATAAAATTTATATTAAGTTGAGCCAGAAATAATTTCCTTTTTTGTTTATCAGCGTTATTCTTAAAAAAAAAATAATTTCAATGACATTTTATTCAATTCTTTATTCACCATTATTTATAAGGACCTGTTTCTTATGAGGCAACCATGCCTTCCATACTTTTGAATAAAATCCAGCAAGCTTTGATGCGAAAATGTTTTCAACGAACTCTTGAATCAAGTTTTCCTTCGAGAAAGTTTTCCTCATTAAAGCATTTTACAGAGATCAAGAAAAGTAAGAATCAATTTGAGCAAAGACAGGTGACGGGTTGAGTAGAACAGACCAAACGAATTTCAAAATGGATTCTTGTATTATTAATGTTGTATGCTGTCTTGTATTGCAATGGCGGAAAACAACATTTTCTCCTTTAATCCTCCATGTACGCTGCCATTGCCATACAAAAACTAAGGTATGTCAGTGGACTCCAAAGTTATTCTTAATTACCACCTATGATTTGTAGTTAGGATGTTACATTCGTCATTAGGAATGGTTCCAAAAAAATGAAGATTACCTATGATTGAACCTGATTTATCTATCACAATCTGTTCAGATCTATGTTAGTGTACTACATTTAACTGACAAGTATGATTAGTAGTTAATATGATACATTCGTCATTAGAATTGGTTCCCCAAAAGGAAATTACCTCTAAATCAAACTAATCTATCTATCTCTGTTCATTATCTATCTATCTATCTATCTATCTATCTATCTATCTATCTATCTCTGTTCATTATCTATCTATCTATCTATCTATCTATCTATCTATCAATTATTGCACATATCAGGTAGCTCTTGGACAGGTTTGAATAAAATTCAGCAAGCTTCGAGGCGAAAATGTTTTCAACGGACTCTTGATTATGTCATTATTTTCTCTTCTCAAGCCCAGTAGCTGTTATCACTCTTTCCAGTATTGATGGCGGTTTCCTTCCTAACCTTTTGTTTGAAGTAGTGTGGAATGTCAACATCTTGATTATGTCATTATTTTCTCTTCTCAAGCCCAGTAGCTGTTATCACTCTTTCCAGTATTGATGGCGGTTTCCTTCCTAACCTTTTGTTTGAAGTAGTGTGGAATGTCAACATCTTGATTATGTCATTATTTTCTCTTCTCAAGCACAGTAGCTGTTATCACTTTTTCCAGTATTGATGGCGGTTTCCTTCCTAGCCTTTTGTTTGAAGTACTGTGGAATGTCAACATCTTGATTATGTCATTATTTTCTCTTCTCAAGCCCAGTAGCTGTTATCACTTTTTCCAGTATTGACGGCGGTTTCCTTCCTAACCTTTTGTTTGAAGTACTGTGGAATGTCAACATCTTGATTATGTCATTATTTTCTCTTCTCAAGCCCAGTAGCTGTTATCACTCTTTCCAGTATTGACAGCGGTTTCCTTCCTAACCTTTTGTTTGAAGTACTGTGGAATGTCAACATATTGATTATGTCATTATTTTCTCTTCTCAAGCCCAGTAGCTGTTATCCTCTTTCCAGTATTGACAGCGGTTTCCTTCCTAAACTTTTGTTTGAAGTACTGTGGAATGTCAACATATTGATTATGTCATTATTTTCTCTTCTGAAGCCCAGTAGCTGTTATCACTCTTTCCAGTATTGATGGCGGTTTCCTTCCTAACCTTTTGTTTGAAGTACTGAGGAATGTCAACATCTTGATTATGTCATTATTTTCTCTTCTCAAGCCCAGTAGCTGTTATCACTCTTTCCAGTATTGACGGCGGTTTCCTCCCTAACCTTTTGTTTGAAGTACTGTGGAATGTCAACATATTGATTATGTCATTATTTTCTCTTCTGAAGCCCAGTAGCTGTTATCACTCTTTCCAGTATTGACAGCGGTTTCCTTCCTAACCTTTTGTTTGAAGTACTGTGGAATGTCAACATATTGATTATGTCATTATTTTCTCTTCTCAAGCCCAGTAGCTGTTATCACTCTTTCCAGTATTGATGGCGGTTTCCTTCCTAACCTTTTGTTTGAAGTAGTGTGGAATGTCAACATCTTGATTATGTCATTATTTTCTCTTCTCAAGCCCAGTAGCTGTTATCACTCTTTCCAGTATTGATGGCGGTTTCCTTCCTAACCTTTTGTTTGAAGTTGTGTGGATCCATCTCTTACTTCTTCCCTTCCTTTTTTTCTTTCTTTATATCGTTTCCGGTGAGTTGACTTATTAAATAGGTCAATGACTTATCCTTACCCCACTTCGTCACTATTAAGTATTGTAATAAGAATAAATTTAAAAGAATTACCATCTCTCCCTTCCCTCTCTAATTTCGACCATGTCTGTCACACTATCTCTCACCCCTCTCTCTATCACCTTACATCGGCTAATAGTACTCTCCAAAAGTGTAAGTTTAAATTCAATTTTTTCATCATTGGAAGTGAGGTCTGATGATCCAGGGAACAAGAAAAACCCCTGGGAAATAAATTATAACCTTATGGAACCTTAAAGTTGTCTGGTTTTCTTTAAATTACATATATATATATATCTATTATATGTATATTCAGTACGTTTTAAGAAATTCAAATTAATAATATCCCGACCAACACATGCACGACATTACCTTTTTTCTATGGAGCTGAGATTTTGAGTTAGGTTGCAGGGATTTACTCTTGTAAGTGCTTATGTGGATATCCTAGGTGTTGGGTCGACATCGGACGACGCACTACGGGCGTACATCCTGTCTAAATCCCAGCCGATAAATCTCTAACTCTCGAACTGACATATCGAAAAGTCTCCCCCTTCCGATGCGCACGTGGTCTTTTTTTTTATTTGACTTGACACATCCGTGTTTTCCGTTTGGTTTTTGGCGGAACGTGTTGTTAGTTTGACGTTTGCTGACCTGCATAAACTATGTCCGGGTTCTGCCAGTTACCGAGGATAGGAAAAAAAAGGAAATATGAACATGATTTTCTTTGCCCTTCTCTTAGTGAAAAGGGAAGTGTATATTTCAATAGGGTCTTACTACTACCTTATCCTACTACATATCTTTCATTACAAACAGATCCCAGAAATGAAAATTACTTATGGATGACTTTGTACAGTTAACTTTTTCTTAACTAATGACACTAAAAATGTTTTTTTTTTCTTTTTTTATTCTATAGGCAAAGCCAATGTGATTTTGAGGTCGTGTACCGATGGCATCTTCTCCTTCTCTCTCTCTCAACTGCCTTACCATAAATTCAATTACTTGAATCCAGAAAAGAACATGACCATGTGTACAGTCATCGGGTATATGGCTGTCTGCGCCACTCTTTGTTCAACGGACATGTGCAACGGACCATCCGGTGCTTCGTCAAATGTCAGCTGGGCAATAATTCTTCAGTTATTACTCGGATATCTCTTCTACTTGCAGTTAGTCATTTAACTAAATCGATTTCACCACCGGGGCCATCATTCACGCGTTGATGTCAATGCACACAGTCATCATCATCATTAGTAACCCGGTTTTGTTCATCTGTGAATCGTAAAAGTCTTATTTAAAAAAAAAAAAAATTGTGTCTACTGATCGGAAACAAATCTGTATTACTTTTTAATCCGGGAAATCACTTTCAAGCCAACTCCCAGAAGGTACATTTTCTTTAATAAGACTTTCGATGTCTAGGCCGATAGACAATTGTATATATGAATATATGATATTGCACATTGAGTGCTGGTGTCTATAAAATAGTGCTCGATGTAATATATCAGAGCTATTAAGTATATCTTAATATGCAATTTTTTCCTCACCAGTAGCACGACTCGGAGTTTCATGCACAATGCAATCTTCAGGCGAAGGATTGAGACTATTGATTCTCAATCCAGCACCTGAAGATTGCGTTGTGCAGGAAACTCTGAGTTGTGCTAGCGACGAAGGATAATATATATATATATATATATATATATATATATATAGAAAGAAAGAACAGTAAGATATATAATCTGATGTTCTTATAGATATTTTTTTAGAAAATAGTGCTCAATGTAAATTTACAGAGCATTAATATTATAACTTAATTAATTTAAAATATGTTTTTCCGCTACACAGTTCTAACCATGTTTCAAAAATGGAAGCTGAAAGCTTCGAATTTAATCTTGTAATTAAATTAAATTAAAGACATTAGTTCCATTTCATCCTCAAGCGAATATACTCGACTCTTCCGTCGAATTCGAGGTATGAAGGTCAAGTAGATCAGTTCACAGGAAACCGGCAGCCTGACCACAGAACATGAGATTTGATTATAGTGGTGAAGGTTTCATGCAGGACCATCCACACTTTTTGAAGGGCCAAATACAGAGACCTGGTGCACTACGTGCCACAAGGTCCACAAACAACCCTCCGCAGGTTTTGAATTCAGAGTTGTCCTTCTCCTAGACTAGTTGCCATCCAAGGCTATAGAACCCAGTCTGTCCTGCTATTTACCCATAGCTGGGGGGGGAGAAGAAGAAGATTCACACCTTTCCCAAAGGTATTAGCACGTAAGTGAATGTAATGGATTCGATTCGAACTCCGATTCCTCAATCCAAGCCGCTATCCATTACTCCACCGTGCATCCAATATATATATATATATATATATATATATATATAAATGAACATTGAAATCAACACGTAGAGGATCTAAGTGTTGACTTCAATGTTCACTTTTATATTTACACACGCTCTATCTCTGATTCTCTGATATTGAGCACTTTATCCCATAAATATAGCACACCTTAAAACTATATTTCTTCATATATATATATATATATATATATATATATGGCATGAACTAAATTGTTCAATAAATAGAGTAATGTCTCAGTTGATATCCCGAAAATTTGCACGTCGGATCAAGTTTTTAAAACAAATATGTAGTGCAGTTCAATTTATATTACAATGAATCATTCATACAAAAAGTAGAATAGTAAATCACTTCGCTAACAAAATTTTAAAGATGCATTAACCTTCAAAATCACTCGTTGAATCAAACAAGGATCATAACATTCAATGAGTGATTTGTAGATTAGTGCACCTTTAAAATTTTGTTAGCGAAGGGATTTCGCCATTTTATATCATTAACTTTACTATATACTTTTTGTATGATTCAATTTTATATATATATATATATATATATATTTGAGTCGACAATGTCGTTTTTTTGGGGGGGGGGTGTCAATCACCGAAATTAACGTTTACCGGCCTAAAGCATCGTAAATCTCCTTAAATCCTAAATCGAACGTAGTCAGTACCCACTTGCGAATACCAGGTGCTGTAAGCATGGATGTGCAGGTGGTGTGATGGATAACGGCTCGGAATTGTTAATCGGAGAGCCGAGTTCCATTTCCAGTCAGGGTCGATATATTCACTTACGCGCAAATATTATTGGGAAAGGCATGAATCCACTTCTTCCCCACCGTCTGTTATGGGTTATTTAGTAGGACTTGTATCAATAAATCATTATTAACATCTTACAGTGTAAGAATATTTTCTGCCTTTAAATAACCTGCAAAAGCTGTAAAAAAAAATCAATTAATTGATTCTAAATCTTCGCTTGTGAAAACTTACAGATGGATATTTTCAAGTCAGGCGGACACAAACTCAAAAAATGCAAATATTTATCTCGAAATACGTTGTTAACAGATAAATAAAAGTTCAAACGGCTTCTCTTCTAACTTTAAGTTTTGTCAGGGCTTCGATAAATCTAGTGATTTAATTAACAGATATATTTATATTTCATTTAAATACGTTACAAAAAAAAACCAAAAACCAAAAAACACTCTAATTGCATCCAAATAAATTTTAGACCCGTTCCATACTAAAAACGGTATAAGGTGATTACGTTGAAACGTTAAAAAATTAAAAAAACAAACTTCATGACATGACGGCATTTGATCTGAAATTGTTCGATTTTATATTTTTTACATTGTTACAATTTTGACATTAGAAACGGTACTCAGATTTATTGTAAACTAGCAGTAGAGCCCGGCATTGCCCGGGGATGTAACAGTAAGAGATAGATCAAGTATCGACCATCATAAAGACTGAAAAATAAAATTGACAAAGATTATTGTTTAAGGTTGACGGACACGCATGTCTTAATTAGTTTTTTTTTTTTTTTTTTTTTATGGATTAGAAAAACATTGTTTTCAATCATTATGAGTCTATCGATTGAATAGAATTTTATTATAAACAATTGTCTTGTAAATGGAATTTTTAAAGCATTCTGAATGTAAAAATAAAGAAAAAAGTGTGCAAGACAATAAGAAACACTACCTGCCAAAAAAAAAAAGTGAAGTTTTGTTGAAATCGGTTTGTAAAAATAGGAAATCCGATCCAATATATAAACGAACACACACACACACACACACACACACACACACACAAACAATCTGGGTTTTTATAATAAGTATAACTCGATATGAGTTGTCCCCTTTCATTCTCAGGATGCCTCTTAATCGTGTTTTCAAATTGATTTCGTGCAAAAACAATTGTGTTTTTCCAATTTTGGGCGCTGTCAGAATCACCGCAAGGTAATTTTACGTAGTCCTGTGAAGTTTTGTTGAAATCGGTTGAAAAATGTAGGAAATCCGATCCAATATATAAACGTACAGACACACACACACACACACAAACACACACACAACACAACCTGGATTTTATAATAGGCATGATTAATACAAGTATGGCACAAGGCCGAAAAGGGGGATTGGTTAGAGGCTGGTCTTCACTATCTTATACCTAGCTAATCCGATTCACGACCCATTCTCTTGTTACAATTTCTTCATTCACCATAAAAACTCGTCCGTCACCAATCAATCCTTTATACACCATAATACCACATCCTCTCAGAGGGAGGGGGCTAAAAAGAAAAGAAAAAAAAACTCATCCCAATGAGATGCTAAATATTATTTACAATATATACAGGGTGCGGCTGGTATTTGAGAACAGATTTTATGGATTAGTAAAAAACTTGCTGAACAAATGAATATAATTATATTTGATTACAAACAAGTAAACATTAAATTTAGCTATTATTTAATTTTATTCAATAAAACCACCCCTAGCATCGATAACTGCCTCTACACGTGGTCGAAATCGGCTGTAAGCTTTGATTAATTGGCCCTTATTTATGTCAGACATTACTCTTTAAGAGAGTCTTTGGTGTTTGGAGGCTGTTTATTAACCTCCTTCTCAACAACGCTCCACACATAATAGTCTAGTGGATTGAAATCTGGAGAGTTAGAAGGCCAAATGTTGGGTGTGATGTGGTCGTACAAATGGTCAGCTATACATTCTGGCAACTTTGAGAAAACGTGCAATATCCAAATCGCTATGATCAGCCTTTAATGCCACAATCACAGCATGTCTTTTCATTTCATTTGTTATCATAGGGTTTGCCATTCTTGATTTCTTAAAAATAAAAGCATTAGAAGTTAGTAGGAAGCAGTATTAATCTCAAATACCAGCTGCACCCTGTATATACAAATCGGATGAAGGATCATGAAAGGGGTCGGGTGAACCCCAAAACAAACTAAAAATCAAAGCAAAGCAAAAATAAATATTACTAATGTTAGTAGGACCCGACGAACCCTTCGAAAAAGAGAAGCCGCTGTATTCTGCCCATTTTAGCAAAAATCAAGAGGCTCTCTCGCTAAGGGAGAGGGAAAGGAGAAAATATAGACGGGCATGGCGAATCAATAAAGTTGATGTAGCCGGGAGCAGACCAGGAACAACACTTACTCACATTAACTAGATACACAAAAGTTTGTCTAGCCTAACCAAGGGGAGGGCTCCGCAGGAAACCACCCCGATGTGATATAGGTTGACCTAAAAGAGAAAATCAAGACTAGCCGCGTTTAAGTGAACCCAGCTCGCTTCAGTTACCCACCTTTCGCTGAAGGCTGTCGAATGCAAGAAATATATAGAAATAATGTTTGCACTGTTGTGAAAACGGATTCATCAGTTTTCTTTTGATTTCTTGATATATATATATATATATATATATATATATATATCAATATATATATATAGATGGAAACAGGGTTTGGTAAAAATCTTGAGAAAATAAAGCTAGCAAATGTTGCCTGTATCCAAAATCGAGATAAATTAAACAAAAGTGATTGTTTTGTCTTTTATAAAATCTTAAATAGTAAAATAATTGTTGGTGAAATGACTTTTGAATTTAAGCGCAGTACTAGACTGACAGTATCTCATCAAAT